CACTCCTAGTACGTAACTAGAGAACACACAGTTGTGTACAACAATGCCCATTGCAGCGTTGAGGGGTAAAAAATAAAACAATTCAAATCTCCATCAACAGAGAAATATATACATCATGTACTGCCGTATTAGAAACCTTGATTAACAGTGAAAATAAACTAGAACTGTACATTGCAACACGGATATTTCAAAAGCAAATGTTTCATAAAGATATGCATAAAATATATTTTTACAAAAAGTTTTTAAAACGTGTAAAATGATACTACATATTGATTAGGGTTATGTGCATCTTTTAAAGTTAGGAAATAAAAAGCATGAGACCAGTAAATACCAAAATCAGGCTACTAGTTAATTCTGGGGTCTGGAAGGAGGGCTATGTTATCGGGAATAGACACACGGAGGGATTGCTGAATGAGCGGTGTGGTGTCCATTAGCTTCTTTTGTATACCTGATGTATTTTAGTATTCTAAAAACGTAAATCTAAGAAAGGAGGTAAATACACCGTGTTATCAAGACTTTACTACTGTTAAACAGCCGGGGCAGTAAAACAGACGGGATTCTAAAAGTAAGGAAGAAGCGTGTTTTCCAAGACCCCTGGGTAGAGGTCTCTGCACAACTTTCCCTGCAGCCACCACAAAGCTTTCCTCGAGTTTCTTAGTTAATGGAACGTATTCCTTTCTCAGACCCCTCACTGTTTGAGACATTAAGGAATATTCGAAGGACCCGAGGGAAGTTAGTGTTGGGCCGGGCTCTGATTTAGATCCTAAGAATGTTGACTCTCACTTTTGATAAAGTTAATGACCGAGAACAGGCTGCAAGCAGCTCCAACCCTCCGCGAGGTACTGGCCTCTGCTCTGTCCCCTGCTCCTAAGATCTCAGCCCACCGCTACCTGTTATAATAGTCGCTATTTCAACATCCCAAGCTAACCTGTTCACAGCAATGAAGAATTCAGTAGATTACATGTCATTTAAGCTCTTTTGTTGATAGCTTGGGGGCCCTAAAAAGGGCCTTTTTAGTAAATGACCGGGCCTCAAAGTGCTATTTAGCCGCCGAAGCCGTAGAGGGTGCGTCCCTGGCGCTTGAGCGCGTAGACCACGTCCATGGCGGTGACAGTCTTGCGCTTGGCGTGCTCCGTGTAGGTGACGGCGTCGCGGATCACGTTCTCCAGGAACACCTTGAGGACCCCGCGGGTCTCCTCGTAGATCAGACTGGAGATGCGCTTGACGCCACCACGCCGAGCGAGGCACCGGATGGCGGGCTTGGTGATGCCCTGGATGTTGTCGCGCAGGACCTTGCGGTGGCGCTTGGCGCCGCCCTTCCCCAGACCCTTACCTCCCTTACCACGACCAGACATGTCTGCAGCTCAAAGAAACTAGCAAGTTCAACATTCCTGGCAGCATTTTATATAGTGGTAAGTCGGACCTGATTGGGAACTCTGCACGCCAGCGGTATTTGCTCAATCAGTTACCTGACTTGGAGCCCTGCCCACGTTTTCAGAAAAGAATGGAAAGGGCGGGACTGAAATTAGAGATTCTTAAAAGATGCCTGATTAAAACTTACTCAGTCCTTTTTCTCTGGTCCTTTACGCTGCCAACCGCTGCAAGGCCATTCCTTTGTTTGGGTCAGGCCTTGCAGTCTGTTTTTTCTCAGTCTCCATGTAACATGTTTCCCACTAGTGCCTTGTGACTGTTGGAATCGAGCGGCTCATCACAAGAGAGGTGGTCGCAGTCATTTCCGGCATTTGTGAAACCGTCCGGTATGCAAAGCGCGTCCTGTATTATCTCGATGTAATCAGCCTGAGAAGCGGCTGACCGCCGGGTTCCAGCTTCAAGGTGGGGTTCCTTGCCTTCTCACATTTAATCCTCTACCCTTTTCCTTACTTATTCTTCGTGTCGCCTTCCTTTATTTCCCTTTCCCTTTCTTGGCTGGCTGCTACACTGGGGGGAGAAGTGACTTTAATATTTTCTTCATCCTGCTTAGAAACACTTCAAAAAGCTGACGCAGAAGGGCGGCTTTTATCCCGGAGTCCTCGAGCGGGTGAAAATGCCGCTCAGAGCTCCCTCCTGTTCCCTCCTCTCCTCTGATGAACTAGGAAATCAACCACATGCAGAACCCTGTTCCTTAAATTCACAAATAAATTGCAGAGTGCAGACACCGGGATGACTTTATTCTAGAAAAAAAAAAAAGTGCTTCAACTTCAACAGTTTTTTCAGGCCGACATTCGTCCTTCTCTCTTCCTGAGCTTCAGTAATGTTTACCTTGTACGTTCCAAAAGTGTTTATTTACTCCTTAAACAAATGTCTAATTTTATTCTAGGACAGTCTTTCCAAGTGCATTATAAACTCTGATTACTGTACATGTCATAGGGTACAGATTATTATATACCAGTCTTCATAGGAAAGGGGGAAATAAGGGATGTTGGAGTAAATGATTTTTAGAGGGGCTCAGTGGGCTGCAGAACATGCAATTGGCCCAGACAATGACTAGTAAATAATTTTCTTCAAAATATCGAACGGGATCAAAATAGAAGACAATAGTCTGTGACGAGAGTTAGTCCAGGTGTGTTGACAGACTCCAGTCTTCTTTCCTATGATATGAGTTAAATTAGTAGAATCTCAGTTAAAGGACCAGAGGTAATTATCATTTTCTTTGGTGAGTCCAGACTTCAGGCTGATAAGGGAACAGCTTCATCCTGTGCTTTGAAAACTGACAGAGGAATGACAGACAGGAGGGGGTGAAGGGGAAGGTCAGAGAGACTTCTAGGCTTCTTTATTTCCGTATGTAAAAGCATCATATTTTGTGATAACTTCCTGCACCCCAACAAAGGTTTCAGGGAAAAAATAAAGTTGAAAAGAAATGGGGTAGATCGACCAAACTTTAGAGCAAGGGTTTTCAGCATAAGATTCATATATGCTACAATACCCCTAAGGATAAAATTCAGTGGTTAAGTGGCTGTGGTGGTGGGGAGGAGGAAGTCCATGAGTTTGGATAGGGAATTTTAATTAACCTTTAACTAAATTTTAGCTTTCCATTTTATCATGAATTTAGGCCACAAACCTCAGTACTTGTTACTTTGTTACCCAAAAGAAATTACATGTTTCATTTCTCATTAGACTTGCTCAATTATCTTGAAACATTTATATGTATCTAATTATTAATGGAAGTTATTAGGTTCACCAAAAGATATTATGTAATGTGTTCATTATATAAGCATATATCACTATCAAATTTATTTTTAAAAATGCTTTGATAACTAATTTAATAAAATTGTGTGTTTTTTGTTTTTGTTTTTATTTTTTGCACTTCATACACTTAAAACATCATTCTGTAAACATTTTCTATGTCACCAGACAGCCAAAGGTGTCCATAATATACAAGAAAAGTTAAGAATTTTATTTCTTNCTCTGTGTTAGGGGAGGGGACCTAAAAGGCAAACAAGTCTGCTGGGCTATACTCCCTTTTGTTCTCTTTCAGTTCTTTTCAATCCTCAAGGCCTAGTCTATTTTCCTCCTCCTTTTTTTTCATTCAAAATGATTTCTGCCCCATCCTCATTAAACAAAATTTTAACATTGTAGAAGATTCATCGAAAATTAAAAATAATAAAATACTGTTTTTAACTATGTATGTATACACGTATTGTCTTTCTGGAATACTATTTGCATAAGACTGCTATTTTGTAACATTTTTCTCCATAATCTAGGATGGACTAATGAAATCCAGAATTTTAGGATCTTTTAGGTATATTGCTAAGTTCTCTTCCACCAAAAGTGTACCTGTGTTCATTTCCAACAGCAGTTCCTATTATGCCTACAACCTTACTAATGCAGGATAGAATCATTTACAAAAAATCTAACTGTAATAATTTGAATTTGATTTCATGTATAGAGAGTTAACTTTTTAGAAAGTTAACCATCTGGTTAATCAGTGCAATATATTAAATATTTCCCCCACTGATTTGAGGAACTTAATTTATCATATGTTGAATATTTCACTTAAAATTACTTCTTGAGTTTCTATTGTTTCACTGATCAGTCTATGTCTAATGCTAAAAAATTTTCAGATAGGAAGAGGAGGTGTAGGGGCAAGGGAAACTTCCCCTTCAACCCGCTAAAGGTTCTCTGAAAAATCATCTGATAGAGATTAATACAAAGAAAAAGGCATAACAAATTTTATTATTTCAACATGCTGGGAGGGGAAAATGCATGGCAGAATCACAAGAGAGTACTGTCCCAATTTC